ACCTCAAGGAGATCCTAACTAACCCGTTTTTGTTCAGCTGACCTCTACCCTCACAATGTGGTAAGTTTTCATGTCACCTAGTACTCTGACCTTAGTCAGATTTCTCTAGTTGGCCCCAATGTTTGTTTGTGTCCTGGTGTGATGAAAGCCAGCAGTTTCAGTACCCACATTACACCTCTTTGCTTTGTGTCCCTTAAGGGGCTAGAATCTAGTGTGGTCCCTGTTTTCATGACCCCAAAGCGGCAGAAGAGACCAGAAAATGTCTCTCCCTTCAAATTTTCCTGCTGGCTCCCACGTGGTCTCACTGGTCCTGTTGCCTTCTCCCGAGTTTTCCCCGTCTCCTAGAAGCTGGAGCTTCCTTATTACTGTTGTTCTCTTTCATTTTATTTATTTTTGTTTCTTTGTTATTATTTGGAAGTTAGATATTGTCGGCTCCTCCCTTTACCCTCTCAGTAAACGACAGTGTGGTGGCGAATGTCCCCCTCGCCCCCTTTAGGTAAAAAGGGGTCCAGAGTTGTCCACAGGCCCAGTACAGGCTCATCGTCTCTCCCCAACCTCCTTCTTCTCAGACCCTGACTCCTGCGGTGGGCAGCAGCGCTGAGCTGGGCTGGTCTGTCTCTTCCCTGCAGTCCTTGTCCAGCAGTCCTCAGGCCCAGCCCCCTCGGCCCGCAGAGCTGTCAGATGAGGAAGTGGCTGAGCTCTTTCAGCGCCTCGCAGAGACACAGCAGGAGAAATGGATGTTGGAGGAGAAGGTGCTGTCTGCCTGCTCACCCCCCACCCCGGCGTGCCCTCAGGGGGTGGTGGGATATGCGGTGGGTCTGCCCGACCAACCCTCATGTGTGAACATGCATACAGTTGAGGGTCTGAGGAGGGCTGGGCCACCCTACAGGTGAAGCACCTGGAGGTGAGCAGCGCCTCCATGGCAGAGGACCTCTGCCGGAAGAGTGCCATCATTGAGACCTACGTCATGGACAGCCGCATCGGTCAGTGCCCCCTGCCCCCGCTGTCCTGCGCTTCTCTCCTCACCTTGGAACAAGGCCAAGTGACTGACTTGGTGGAGGGGAGAGCGGGACCAGCCTGTGTCTCTCTGTTCTGTCTCTTATTTCCTCCCCGCTCGGTGTCCCTGTCATTGCTTCACTCCCCTGTCCGTAGCGTGTCCGTCTGCCCTTCTCTTTCTCCTTTCTTCTCCTTGTCTCTTCTTTCTGCCCCATGCCCTCATCTTGTCTCACTGTTCCCCTTCTCTGCCTATATTCTTCCACCCCTGGAAATTGCCCTTCTCTGCGAGTCTGCCCTTCTGGGATCCTTGCATTTTCCACTGCCTTGCACTGGTCCTCTCCTCCTCTCCCACCTCTCTCCTCTTCCCCCACCTCCATGCTTTTGTTTCTTTCGTTCTTTCCAAACCTTCTCTTCTTCCTGTTTTCTCTTTATCTGTGAGAATAATGCGATGGCATGTGCTGAGACTTGAGTGTGTGCTGTGCGCTCCACAAACAGCCCTATAGACCTCTCACCAGCTCATTCCAGCTCCGTCACTTATTTCCCGCACTCACAGCCAGGTTTCCCACAGCAAAGCCTCTGCCCCTCCATGTCCCAGCTTCTCCCTCTACTCCTCTCCCCTGCTCTTTGTTCTTTTCTTCTCTGTCCATCCCTCCTGGCTCTGCCGAGGAAGTGACTCTCGAGACTGGGCCCTTGCAGATGTGTCTGTGGCAGCAGGCCACACAGATCGCAGTGGGCTGGGCAGCGTCCTGAGAGACCTAGTGAAGCCAGGTGATGAGAACCTTCGAGAGATGAACAAGAAGCTACAGAACATGCTGGAGGAGCAGCTCACCAAGAATATGCACTTGCACAAGGTGTGTGTGGCCGCCAGCCTTTCTGTCTATCCATCGAGCCACCTGCCTGCCTAGCCACACTGCCCCCAGGTCATCCACCCACCCCCTCCGCCAGCCACCCCTCCGTCCTCTTGTCCTCTCATCCTTCCATCAACAAGCCGACTCCAGATTCGACTGCCACACCCCTCTGTTCTTGCAGCCACCCGCTCATCTCTTCATACACAGTCACCCAGCGCTCCCATCAACCTACCCCACTATTTGCCCATCTGCCCATCCCATCCAGTCATCTTTCCACCCATTTCCTGACGGGGCAGCTCTCTCTTACCTTCTCACCAGTCATCCCTCTCATTCACCCACCTAGTGACCTGCTGCTTCTCCTGTCCTCTAAGCAGTTCACACACCTACCTGTTTACCCACCGTGCATATCCACAGGCCCATCTGCTCATCCTGCTACCCCAGTGTTGCCACTGAAGGGTGAGCGTGGGGTTATACCCTCTGACATACTGCACGGCACGTGGTCTACCCCCATCTGCACAGCTCTCCCTTCAAAGGCTCCCCGCCCCTCTGACACCACCTTTTCTGCACTCAGCCTGCTGCTGAGGGCTCTGTGAGCTTTTCCAATTCTCTCTGTGGTCCAGGAAAGACATAGCTGGGCCTTGATTAATGGGGTGGGAAGGATAATACCTCAGAATTGGTGAGGGAGCTTCCCCTGTCTGTCTGTTCTCTGGCTCCTGATGGCTCCTTTGTTCCTTAGGACATGGAAGTTCTATCCCAGGAAATTGTGCGGCTCAGCAAGGAATGCGTGGGATCCCCTGACTCAGACCTAGAACCTGGAGAAGCCAGCTAAAGACCTAAAGGGGCTGCACCCCTCCCCAGCCCTCCCCAGCCCTCAGGACACCATTCCTTTGGGCTGTGGTGGGAGAATGGGGGCCAGTGCAAAAATCAAATAAGTTGGGAGACTGGACATAAAAGGGTCGGAGGCCTGATGACTGATATAGTGACCCTGTCTTAGGGCAGAGGGCCCTGGGGAGTGGAGAGCCTGAGGGGGGGTCAGGGATTTCTCCTCCTTGGTTCTGGCTCCCAGGGGGCTTTGTCTTCATCTCTGCATGAGCTCTCCCTCCCTCCCAGAGACCAACTCTTTAGTTTTATTTTATTTTTAATTTATGTCTGGAAGCCTGGCTACTCTGCATTTGGGTCTGGGGATTTTGGGTGGGGCGTGGTCCATGTTCAGCGTTCTAGCAACATGTGTGTATGTAAAGGCTGTGTAGCCAAAATACCATCTGGCCAGACAGGCCCACCCACTGACTGTCTGCTCTCATTCTTGTCAACCAGTTGGGATGTGCTGGGGGGTGGTGAGGTCTCTGGCATGAAGAGGGTGGTCTCTGGATGCAACTTTATTCTTCCCCCACCCTCACCCAGGCTGTCTCCAGTTACTGTTCACCAGCCCCTCAAACTGAGTGAAGCAGATATAGCTGCAGATAGTGTATGTGGGTGGATGGACGTGGGTGTGCATGAGTGGACAGATGGAAGGATGGAGAAGTGGTTGAATGGACTGATGGATAAATAAGTGGAAAGTTGCATGGATACCTATGATGGATAGGTTGGGAAATGCACAGACAGATGAAGTGGTGATTTGATGACTAAATGGATAGATGGATGGGTCGAGAGTGGACAGGTGGGAATGTTAAGTGGATGGATGGAGAGGGGAACGTGTGGCTGGATGAGTGGGCAGATATATGGATCAGCTGAAGAATGGGAATAGTATAGTGTAAGTGAATAAATTGCGAGCAGGAATATGGATAGATAGATCGGTGGCCGGAGGGGGGAATACATCTGGATGGATTGTTGAACGGTTAGGTGGGAGCGGGTGAATATATGATGTATGAGTGAGTGGAAGGGTGGATTAATGACTAAATGGACTGTATGGGTGGGAAGAACAAATATTTGCATAGGTGGGAGAATGGTTGGGTAGGTGGGTGGTGGGTGGGTGGGACGGAGGAAAAATAGATAAATGAGGAGTGTGATGAGTGGTCAAATGGAAGATTACATGGGTAGGTAAATATTGAAAGGCTAAACCTAGCTGGTATCACAGTTTCCCCGCTGTACCCAGCTTTAAAGACTGAAGATGAAGCCTCCTGTGTGGGCACTATGCCCCGTGCCGTCCCCTTTCATATCAGCCCATCTGATGCTCCCAATAACACTATGGAGTTGGGGTAACTCCCTACCTAGTGCCTAACGTAGGAGGAAACAATGCAAGTCACCTGCACATCGACACAAGTCAAGTGACAAAGCTGGGGTTTGGACCCATCCCCACCACACCTAATGCTGGTGCTGCAGCTTCCAGGAGCAGAGCCCTCTAGGGCATGTGTGACTGGCAAGTACCTGCTGTGGGCAGATGAAGGAGAGCCTCTGAGCCAGGCCTGCCTGGCCTGGGAGTGGGACTTGGATTGTCCCCATCTGGACACCCCTAACACCCCCCCATTTCACATCCCCAAACAAGAGAATGTTGCTACAGTCCCACAGTAGAAGTCTTCCTTAGAGCTGTACTCTAGTCCCCATGGTGGGGGGCAGCTTTGGGGGTCTGGCCATCTAGAGAAACACCTCCCATATCCCCTGTCCCTCGCTTCAGCCCTTCTTCAGCCTGGGGGGCAGGGAGGGGACACAGCAGCTGCATCATTCCCCATGGCACTCTGTTCTGGGGCCATTACTGGGGCCATTAACAGCCGCCTCCCCATCGATCGCTCTGCTAAGTGCTGCTGATTCAGATGGGTGGGGGTGGGGGCCTCTGGGGGCAGAGGGGTAGGAGCTGGGCAGGAAGAGGGGGGAGTCCAGGAAGGAGGTGGGGAGAACTGGCAAAGCTCCCTGCCACCCCCATTTTCCAGATGACGCGACTGAGGCCCAACCAGCTTCATAGGAGGCGGAGTCTCCCCAGGGTCCCTCTCTGGCTGTCCTCGGGGAGGGGGCTCTGGGAGCCACGAGGCCCCTCCCTGCCTCTCTCTCCATCTCGCCGCACGCTCAGAGGGGCGGGGAGAGAGAGCCAGAGGAGGAGGAGAACTCGGGCAGCTCTGCAGAGGGGGCAGGAGCTCCGGTGTTTGGTACCCCCAGCCCCACTGCTGTTTGCCGCTGCTGCAGCGGGGACACAGGTGAGGACGGCCCCATGGGGCGGGGGAGGGGGCCACCAACAGCGCTGTCCTTGTCCTTCTCTGGTCCAGCCCCCACGCCCTAGCCCATCCTGGGACAGTCCCCAGGGGTCCTGCTGGACCTTGTCCTTCCAGGGACCCAGCCCCCTCCCCCTGCCTGTCCTGCCTCTCTCCCGGGCCTGGCTGTGGCTGCTTCTCCTCTTCCTCCTGCCGCTGCTGCCACTGCCGCTGCCCAGCACACACCGCCAGCCCCTCGGGGTGTGGTTTCCCCAGACCAGCCCCCAACAGTGGGACGCAAGCCTTATCCTAGCCTCCCCAACCTGCCTCTTGCTAGGCCCAGTACCCCCCCTCCCCGGAGACACACCCAACAGCCTTTCGGCACCCCACCCCCTCTCCAAGCCCCTTTGGGGAAGACCCCCTCCTCCTCTTATCTCCTATTAGATCCCCTGGGTGCTCTGGGTCTATGCCCAACTTCCTTCCAACTGAGCCCCAGCCCTAAGGGATTCCCCAGATCCCTTTCCTCTCCCTGCCCCCAGAACTCTTGAGAGTGTGGACCGGGCTCTTTCAGCCTCCCTCCCCACATACTTCTCTTCCTTAGATACCCCTCAGCCTCTGAAAAATAACCCAGCACCTGATCTACCCCTTTAGGTACCCCACTCCCTTCTCCTGCCCCACTAGGGGGCCCCAGCTTGCCTACCTTCCCCAGAACTCCTTCGAGTGTAGACACCACCCCCCAGGCTATTCTTGGCAGCTCAAGGCTCCCAAGACACCTCTCAGCCTCTTTACAACCTCCTGGCTCCATAGCCACCCCTCTGGATGCACCAAACCCTTTCCTGGATCTACGAGGGGTCACCAACCCCCTTATATGTTCCCCAGAAATCTTGAGGGTGTGAACAACCCTCCCCACCTTGCTCAGCCTCCCCCCACCCCACCCCTCCAGACACTCAGCCTTTTTCAAAGATCTCAGGTCCCATTTCCACCGCTCTGGATGCCCCCAGTCCCCTCTCCAGCCCAATTAAAGGGTTCTAGTCCCTTCTTCTCAGAACTCTCGAGAGTGTGGACAAGTACCTACTACTTCCTACCCCCTCGAGGAACCCCCAGACATCTCTGGTACATACTGACCACTCTAGAGTCATCTCAGTCTCTCAAAACACTCCCTGAGATCCTTCTTGGCATCTTTGGGCATCTCTTTTTGGCTTCTCTCCATGCCCTAGCCTAGCCCCTGCTTGGTCTCTTAAGAAACCCCCAGGTCCTTCCTAGACCCTTTAAATGCCCTCCAAGCCCCTGCCCCTCTCTACAGTTCCTCCTCCTGGCTGTTCTTGGCCTCTCTAGACACCCTCCGTTTCTTTGTGCGAGTGGCCCAGGGCCTCTCCAAGCCCCCCACCACCCTGGAGACAGCCATATTCCCCTAAAGGCCAACCCACCCCCCCAGCCTCCCTGGGCCTGGGGCGAGGCAAGATGGCAGCAGGTGTGGCCACATGGCTGCCTTTTGCACGGGCGGCCGCCGTGGGCTGGCTGCCCCTGGCCCAGCAGCCCCTGCCCCCAGCACCAGGGGTGAAGGCTTCCCGAGGGGATGAGGTTCTGGTGGTGAACGTCAGCGGAAGGCGCTTTGAGACCTGGAAGAACACTCTGGACCGCTACCCCGACACTCTGTTGGGCAGCTCAGAGAAGGAATTTTTCTATGACGCGGATTCGGGTGAATACTTCTTCGATCGCGACCCGGACATGTTTCGGCATGTGCTGAACTTCTACCGCACGGGCCGCCTGCACTGCCCGCGGCAGGAGTGCATCCAGGCCTTTGACGAAGAGCTGGCTTTTTATGGCCTGGTACCTGAGCTCATCGGGGACTGCTGCCTCGAGGAGTACCGGGATCGCAAGAAGGAGAACGCGGAGCGCCTGGCGGAGGATGAAGAAGCCGAGCAGGCCGGGGACAGTCCAGCCCTGCCGGCGGGCAGCTCCTTGCGGCAGCGGCTCTGGCGGGCCTTCGAGAACCCGCACACCAGCACTGCGGCCCTGGTTTTCTACTACGTGACTGGCTTCTTCATCGCTGTGTCAGTCATCGCCAACGTGGTGGAGACCATCCCTTGCCGTGGCCCTGCGCGCCAACTCCCGGGGGAACAGCCCTGCGGCGATCGCTTCCCACTGGCCTTTTTCTGCATGGACACGGCCTGCGTGCTCATTTTCACCGGCGAATACCTCCTGCGGCTCTTTGCCGCCCCCAGCCGATGCCGCTTTCTGCGGAGCGTCATGAGCCTCATTGACGTGGTGGCCATCCTGCCTTACTACATCGGCCTTTTCGTGCCCAAGAAAGAGGACGTGTCGGGCGCCTTTGTCACCCTGCGTGTATTCCGGGTGTTTCGCATCTTCAAGTTCTCCAGGCACTCCCAGGGCTTGAGGATTCTGGGCTACACACTCAAGAGCTGTGCCTCTGAGCTGGGCTTTCTCCTCTTTTCCCTTACCATGGCCATCATCATCTTCGCCACTGTCATGTTTTATGCAGAGAAGGGTACAAACAAGACCAACTTCACTAGCATCCCTGCGGCCTTCTGGTATACAATAGTCACCATGACCACACTTGGGTGAGTGCAGACCCTGTGCTGGGAGCTGCCCAATCAGTCGATTACACTCACCCTTTTATAAAATTATGAAGGTCAGAGAAATGATTTCTGGCAATTTGAACTTCAGTTTGCTCATTAGTAAAATCCCAGAGAGTTGGACAATTCTCCAGATCCCTCCCAGCTCTGACAATGCCTTGATTTTCCAGGTCAGCAGACTTGGGCTCAAAGATTGTCTTAACTGCCCTTTCTGTTGACCTTGTTTTCTCCAGGCCTGTTTTCCACTCTGTAAAATGAGAAATGATGATCTCTTCGTCATCTAGAGGGTTTTCAATGATAGCGTGGTTGTGAACATTCTCTGAGTGTTTCTGGTGCAGGGTAAATAGGTATTGGCTATCACCCCATTTTCCATCTTGATGACCCATGTCTTCCAACCCTCTAGAATCATCTGCTGTGTGGGACACTACCTCTGTGGATTTGTGATTCCCTGATGTTCCCCAGAACAAGATATTTTCAGCATTTTTGTTTTACTGCCAGTTCTCGAGTGGAAACGGTTGGGATAAAAGCGTCCAGTGGAATCACTAACCCCTGTTGTTCTTAAAGACATTGTTGAGGGCAAATACTGTAATCTTTTTCTGAATTTCCACCTCTGAGATTATATGTACACTTGCTGCTCAGTATCTGTTAAATTGGGCTTGCTTAGTACCTTAGTAGAGACACAGAAAGATTAATGTGAGTTTTTATGGAATAGAAATTAATTGAGGTTGAAGGTTTAGGGTTGGACTGACAAATCCTGAGCCATGAGAAGGGGTCGGAACTGGGCATTTTGATGCTTTTTACCCTATTCAGGGCTCACAACAACCCTGGAAGGGTGGGTGGCTGCCCACATTTCAGTGCCAAGGGCATTATCTGAGATGACACTTCATAGGGCCAGAAATGACCAAGTTAGAAAGACTCCAAATGAGTCAAAATAGAGAACTAAGGAAAAGTCATTCTGAGGGCCATCAGGGTACAGCCCAAGCAAAGGCCTAAACGCTGAAGACAGCAGAGGCTGTGCTTCCATGGGGGGAATCTGATTTGTCCTGTGGTTAGATCAAGAGTGCTATATGGTCTCAAGCAAGTCAGCTATGGAACCTCCCTGATTGTGAAACAAGTTGGTAAAATTGTCTCAGTTCATTCTCCATGGAAGAGGGTGGCACAAAGAAAGGAAGAGGGAGTTTCAAGGCTCTCCCTTATTTTTTCATATGAGGATAGTTTCAAGGCTTCCCTTGGTGGACTAACAAGGGGTTCCACTAGAGAAAGTAAGACTGGTACAAGCAAAAGCAGCAGGGTACTACTCTTGGGGCTCAGAGACCCTCAGCTGGCCTGTGGTGATGGGACTCTCTCCCCAGGAGGCTATGTTTACTGCCTGTCACTTCCTCCTTTCCCCCTATGTTTGGCATTAATAGATTTCCAGCTGATTCAGATGCCCAATGTGCAGCTTGGATGGGGGTAGCAGATGGTGGGAGCTGAGGGACAGACCCATTTCTCATTTGACCCCCACTGGTGGCCAGAGAGGTCATGGTCCCATTTTGCAGAGCAAGAAACAGAGACTCAGAGTGTTTGGGTGCCTGGCCAGGGTCACAGGGGTTGGATGGGATGGAGTGGGGGACTGAGTGGTAGCGGGCACTTTTCTTGACCTTGGACTACCTCCCCCAACCCAGCTACGGAGACATGGTGCCCAGCACCATTGCTGGCAAGATTTTTGGATCCATCTGCTCACTCAGTGGTGTATTGGTCATTGCCCTGCCTGTGCCAGTCATTGTGTCCAACTTTAGCCGCATTTACCACCAGAACCAGCGTGCCGACAAGCGCCGAGCACAGCAGGTAAGAAGAGCACCTTCAGTCACAGTACACCTCCTGCTCCCCCATCCCAAGTTGGTCTATTCTTGGTTTACCTACCTGACCCTCTATTTCCTCCTTTCTCTGTAGAAGGTGCGCTTGGCAAGAATCCGGTTGGCAAAGAGTGGCACCACCAATGCCTTCCTGCAGTACAAGCTGAATGGGGGCCTTGAGGTAGGTAGGAGCCCAGGTTCGGGCTGGGGGGTGGCAGTGATGGGAGGAGGGAGGTGCTGATCTCATTACTCTGCTCTGTCCACTCCAGGACAGTGGCAGTGGGGAAGAGCAGGCGCTGTGTATCAGGAATCGTTCTGCTTTTGAACAGCAACATCACCACTTGCTACATTGTCTAGAGAAGACAACGGTGAGACCTGCGTGGAGGTGCTTGGCAGAATGAAGGGAGCCCCTCTGTTGCCAAACCTGCTCCCTCCCTGGGATGGGAAGCATGCTATTAATTGTACAAATCACCAAGGGCTTCCTGGAAGAGGCCCCAATTGTTCTGAGCTTTGGTGGGTGGGCAAGGGGAGGGCAGAGAGAGTAACTTCCAGAGAGGAAGGGACAGACTGAGCAAAAGCCCTGGGTGAGAAGAGCTCATGTGGGGTGCCTGTGACCATGCCTCCCTTCTGCCCACAGTGCCATGAGTTCACAGACGAGCTAACCTTCAGCGAGGCCCTAGGCGCTGTCTCTCTGGGTGGCCGCACCAGCCGCAGTACCTCTGTGTCCTCCCAGCCAGTGGGGCCTGGCAGCCTGCTGTCCTCTTGCTGTCCCCGTAGAGCCAAGCGCCGTGCCATCCGCCTTGCCAATTCTACCGCCTCGGTCAGCCGTGGCAGCATGCAGGAGCTGGACACATTGGCAGGATTGCGGAGGAGTCCTGCCCCTCAGAGGTGAGCACCCCCACCCCCACCTGCTGGCCACACCTGGAGAGGCTCAGAGCTTGAACCAGAGAACATGAGGTTTCAAGACTCAGGGCCTAGCAAGTCAAGCTCAGGCCCAAACCCCTCCATGCTGGGAACTTGGGCTTATCTAGTCTGGCAATCCTCATCCTTCATTCATTCTTTCAACAAACATTTACTGAGCACCTACTATATTCCAGGCACAGCTGTAGGTACTTTGGATATAGTAGTGAACAGAACAGACAGAAATCCCCAACCTCCTGAAGCTTACATTCTAATGGGATGAGACAGTTAATAAACAACTGCACAGACGACATACTATGCCAAGTGCCAAGAAGAAAAATGAATCAGAGAAGGGGGAAAGAGTGAAGTATGGGGTGTGACTTGGTTTTAATAGTGTGCTCAGGCGAGGCTTTGCTAAGGTGACTATATGAGCTGAGACATTGGAGACGAGGGAATACGTCATCTAAAGGCAGTACCTAAAGGAAGAACTTTCCAGGAAGAAAAAACAGCCTGTGCAAAGGCCCTGAGGTGGGAATGGATCTGCCTTCTTAGAGACATTACCAGGAAGCCACTGTGTGAGTCAACTGGAGGGTGAGAGGGGAAGAATGATAGGAGATAAAATCAGAAAGCAAAGCAATGGGAACCAGACTATGTAGATCTCAGACTACTGTACGGACTTTGGCATTATAAAGAGTAACTGTAATTGATAAAATTGACTTGTGTACGCTGTGCTGTTCTGTTCTAGATACTCTGTATCATTTATTACCTTCTTTAGTCTCCTCAACTACCCTGCAAGGTAGGAAATGGTGTTATTATCCTGCTACAGATGAGATAAAAGACAGGGTTTAGAGTGGTTAAAATGAGATCCAAATTCAAACCCAGGAATCTCTAACTCCAGAGCCCTTAGTAAGCACCACAGTTGAGGGTACAAGGGACACATCTGGCACAGTGCTAGGCACCCAAGAGACAAAAGTAAATACCATGATTGCTGTGAAAGATATTCAGATGACATTTTAAAAACGTTCCTTCCATCTTCCCACCCTGATCCACAGCCGCTCAAGCCTCAATGCCAAGCCCCATGACAGCCTTGACCTGAACTGCGACAGCCGGGACTTCGTGGCTGCCATCATCAGTATCCCTACCCCTCCTGCCAACACCCCTGATGAGAGCCAACCTTCCTCCCCTGGTGGTGGTGGCGGGGCCAGCAGCACCCTCAGGAACTCCAGCCTGGGAACCCCTTGCCTCCTCCCTGAGACTGTCAAGATCTCTTCTCTGTGAAGAGAAGTGCCCTCTTCATTTTTGGGGATTCCTTTCTGAAGCCATATTTTGTGGAGGCAGAGAGGGGTAGGCCTGGGCACCCCTTTTGTCTCCCACTAAGAACTATGCAACGAATGTCATGGAATGGCCCACCAGGTGGGGAAGTAGCCCAGCAATGGAAACTTCCCCCACCCAGACAGTTTTCCTGGTGGGAGCTGAAGCAGCAGGCTTTCTTAGGCCCTTGGCCTCCTTGCCCTAGCACACTGGGACTGGCCCCTCCCCTGACTGGAACTCCTGCATGCTCTTCCCCTCGGGCCCCCCCAGGCACAACTGATACCTGAGCTCTGGCCTGAGGAGAGGTGAGACTTCCTCTTTACTCTGGCTGGGCTACAGAGGTTTGGAGTTCAGAGACGCTAACCCTCACCTCTGACCTGGCTTCTTGGGAAGATCCCCACCCTCCACTGGGTTCAACAGCTCCCAGGTTCTTAAGCTTGGAATGTGATCTGCGGCCTCAGAGGTGACCTGCCTCCCGGCCTGGGCTAAGGGGACAGGTTGCCTTTCCCAAAACATACAGATAGCACAACACCACTCTCCCCTTCCCTGACTGCTGGAAATGGGTCCCCGCAACCCTGTCCTCCACTGGGCCCCCAGAAGACTCTAGCAATAGTTGCTGCTGTGACATTATACAAAGCCTCTGCCACTGTGCTGCAGCATTTACATCTGCCCTAATCAGACTGGCCACCTGTAGCGACTGCTCCTTCTCTCTTCTCTGGTTTGCTTCTTTCCTGGGTTGGGCTGGAGTCTGGACTGGCTGAGATAAGACCCTGGCAGCCAGCAGGAGCTGGGCTGTGTTTGGAGATCAGGGGCTGACTCCACGTTCTTGGGCAGGAGTTCAGAAGTGTCAGGGGCTGAGGCCTGGGTTGTTCCTGAACTCTGGGAGTTGTAGGAGGAAGGAGGAAGTTCTTAACCTTCCCCTCCTCCCCCCAAACTCCTTTTCACATATTCCTCTCTTTTCCCTCTTGGGCCACCTTCTAGAATCCTGTGTCTGCTCTCAGGCTGAAATCTAGCATCATCTCAGGTTCCCTGTCCCCAGAGCTGTCTCCTTGGAGCTGGTGGCTGACAAAGATGTAGTTTCCATCAGTCAATAAAACCTGAGTGGAGAGATGAGGATGAGCACCTCTTCGCTCTGTGGGGCTGAGGGTGGGTTTGGGCTGGTATTGCAAATGCACTGATTTCAACTACTTACAAGTTGTGGGAGGGCTGATGTGAGTGAAGGTATGGGAGGAGGATGGTTGGTAATGTGTTCTGGAACATGGGGACCTAGGAAGAATGAAAGAATGATTTAAAGAGCTGAATCTACAGCCAATGAAGCAGTTCCCTTGGACATCAGCTCTCTGGCTCAGATGGGGAAAGAGACCCAGTGCAGCACATGCGTGGTGAGAGGAGCCTCCAACCAGGCTTCCTGACAGTAAACACCTCTGCAATGGATGCTAATGAAAACCGTATTTCAGTCTGCTGAATTCCTTTTCCTTGCCGTGTCCCTGAAGTTCTCTTCTGGGCTACTGGACCCACCTGGCTAGAGTGTGATTGAGCGCTGTGAAGCACTGAGAAGACAGCCCTTGGATTCAGGTCAACCTAGGTTCCACCCCCTGGGTGAAAGGGTCACTTACCTTTGTCTTCCTCAGCTTGCTCACTGGTAAACTAGAGCTAACCACTCATTTATTCACCAAATGTTTCTTAGATGCATGTCACGTGCTAGCCCTTAGGATTCAAACATGGGTAAAGTAGACATCATCTCTATCTACAGTTAAGCAGTCATAAATACTGTGTTGTCGGATAACTAAAATCAATGGATTAGAATAGCAGGCAGATAGCAGGAGAACCTATTGGCCGAAACACAATGAAGCGATCGCAGTTAGCCAATTCAAAGACAAAAGGATGAAAATGTTTTAAACAGAGGGAACAGCACTGCAGTGATCTGGAGGTTAGAGAGTGAGCTCAGGGCCTTTGGGGAACTGAAAGTAGTTCAGTACAGCTGGGGAGGAGAGTGTGAGGCTGTGAGGAGAGTGAGGTGTAGAGGTAAGCCAGACCACAAAAGGCCTTAGAAGCTCTGACAGATTTTGGACTTCATCCTAGAGATAATGGGGGCCTCTGAAGGCTATATAAAAGGAAAGTCATCATCTTGACGTTTGTGCTTCAGAAGGTCATCCTGGCTGTGGAGCGTGGGTCACAGAGATACAGTACTGGAGGAGGGCAGGCAGTGCGGAGGGTTTGGCGGTAGTCTAGTTGGTCGGTGCTGGTGGTTTGGGCCAGGGAGTGGCTGTAAGAATTGGACAGTCAAGAGACTTGTGAGGTAGAACTGGCAGGACTTGGGATGGGGAGGCACATGGGAGTTGAGGGGAGGGAGCAAACAAGGGTTAGTCCCAGGCTTCTTGTTTGGGCAAAAGCTGTTAAAGGGGACATCAAAGCTGTTAGCACACAGCGCCAGACACATGGTAAACTAGCCACTGCTAACCTTCACCAAATATTTAAGTCCAGTTTTAGATGTATAGTGCTGGACAGACACCCAGTAAGGGGTGGGATATATGGGTTGAACGAGATAGTCATGAGGAGACCCACTGTGACAAAGCACGCAGACATCAGACACAGTGCTCTGGATACAGCACGTCCAGTAAGCAAGAAACCACCACCAAAGTCCCAATAATACCTTTCAGAGAAGATCTTCAACCAGGGTCACAGCACTTCTCTGCTCAGCTATGACTATGCAGGTGCTTCTTCCCACCCACTCTCTCCCTCAGCAGGGCAGCAGCCTCCTGCCTGCCCGTGACCTTCTCTTCACTGACCGCCCTCAGCGGAGGTCACTCTCCTCAAGGCCCCCCGCCTGCGACATGCAGGCCTCTCTCAGCAAACCTGTCCCTTTCTGGGCAGCTCTTCCTGCCTGCTTGTGCCTATGCAAGTACCCTTTACTCTTCTCTCCTTTTCCCTAATAAACCTGCTCTTTAAGTATTAAAAAAAAAAAAATTTCAACCAGGGTTGGCACCAGAAGGGAGAAGGTTGGAAGGTACTCAGAAGACGTTTCTGATATCTTTGTTAACCTATGGCATGGCTTGCCTTGTAAGACTGGTAGGTTACTTACCTCTCACAACACCTTCCTGGTTCATGAGCTCATCCCACATCATAACTACTTCCTGTGTGGGCAGATATTGTCATTCCTAATTTACATATGGGTAAGCTCAGATTTGAGACACAATGACATATTCCAGGTCACACAGTTGGTCAATTCATGTCTGGAACTGAGGTCTTCAGGACTCTAAAGCCTGGGGTCCTTCCCATTGCACCAGCAAGCAGACTATTTTATTGAACACTTACTAAGTGTCAGGCACAGTCGCAGGCCCTTTATAAGCAGTCATCTCCGATCCTTATATTTGAACTATCATTGCTCACAGACAGAGAAGTAGACCTTGAAGGTGGGTGGGTGTTCAATGACTTGGCAGTGACCCTTGAGGCAGCCTGCAAGAGGACGTGGCTTGTCTACTGTCCCTGGATTCTCTGGTCTAGGTTTTGCTGCTATGAGGGTGGCAGACCAGGTTAGTACTCAACACTGTGCTGTGCCTAGTCTTCTCTTCCCCCCATAATGCTGCACCATCCCTTCACCCCTTCAGTGTGAACTTTGCCCCCTAATATGTGCCCCACCATGTGCCAGCTGCTGGTGTTGTCCCAGGTACTGAGGTCCAGTCAGGCACCCATCAGGTGAAGTATCCGCCTCCTGACTTCTCCAAAGAAATGGAAGCCAAAGGTAGACCAAATCAGCTGATAACCACTGGAAAGTAAGTGCAAAGCAGGGTAGGCCAAGAGCTTCCAGAAAGTGGTCAAATAAGAACACGGATGAGGAAGCCGGCCAGGCCTGGGCAAAAAGGGCATCCAGATCCACTGGACGCAACTTGCCCCTGAGCTCATCCTAGGGGGTAGGAGCCGGGGGTCTACTTAGAGACCCTGAAGGCCTTGGGGGGCTGTGAGGGCGGAGAGCTAGCCTTGACCAAGGAATAAGCACCCTGGGTGCAGGCACTGGGGGGCAGCAGAACTGTACCAGGTGGCTGGAAGGGGCACCAGGGCATGGAAGAGCCAGGATTAGCTTGTAGCTCACCAGCTATTCAACAGCAGGGATTTTCACCAAACCCATTTCTAGATACTGTTTGGTGACAGTTCGTTCATAAACTTGTGCATGAGCCAGGTAAACAAAATTACCACCACCCCCAGCCCCCCAAAAAAGGCTGTGCCGGGCTTGCGCACTAGCCACAGGGGCAGGGAGGTCAACGCGAGGGCGAGCGTGCGGTGGTGCCAAAGAGGGTGTATCTGTTTCCCAAACGCCCACCGTCCCCACGGTACAAGTCTCCCTGAGGGTTGGCCAGTCGGATGTAAGTGACGGTGTCTCCTAACCAATCTCCGCAGAATTCAGCCTGTTGCCAGGGTGAAGTGGTGCCCGCCTTTCGCAGGATGTAGATGTGCAGGTGGGTGGACCCGGAACTGACGTTTCTGGGGATTGCTATGCTCTGTGAGTGTTGATATTTTCGTGTCAGTCCTGCTGACTGCAGCCAAGTTGGGAGCCTGGGAGGGAGGCGCTTCTGCTGCCGTGAGTGGGGCAGACCACGCTGTCTGTCGCTGTACCCACGCCTGCGAGTCAGAGCCTTGGGATAGAAGAGCAAGACCCGGCCGACAAGAAAAAAAGGCAAGGCACCAGGTGCATACTTTGACTGAAACCTGAATCGGAGGGCCGGGAGGGAGATCGCTCGCCTCTGATTGGCCCGTGGGCGTCATCGGGAACCCACGCAGCGGCTTCGATTGGCTGGGGCCCGCAATTGTTGTGGCGGCGGTGGAGATTTTGCCCACGTACTTCCGAGCAAGAGGCGGGGCTGTGCCCTGGAGCGCGTGCGCAGCGCCCCGGGGCCCCACCCGGTAGTTCGAGATCCTGTGAAGGGGCGGGGCGAAGAGGTGCTTGTTTTGGTTCTGTTTCCTCTGAAGCAGAAGGCCAGAACGAGCGTAGCCTTAAACTTGCTGGACTTGGGGAGAAGGCTACGACAAACTCGCTGCGGTGTCTTCATTTTGGACCTCACATCCAGACTCTCCAGCCTCGTGACCTACGTGCCGCTGACGGGTCTCGAACCGGTGGCTCCTCAATTTCTTTATCCGGGCCTCGCCGATCCCGTCGTGCTTCGCGCACTACAGGAGCCCCCCTCATCCGGGTTCTGTCCCGGCGTGCCTCGCGCCGGGTTTGCTGGGGGGTACTCGGCGGTGCCGCCATGACTATTCTCCCCAAAAAGAAGCCGCCGCCTCCCGACGCCGACTCCGCCAATGAGCCGCCGCCGCCCGGACCGCTGCCACCGGCGCCGCGCCGCGGCGGGGGTGTGGGCGTGGGTGGCGGTGGCACGGGCGTGGGTGGCGGCGACCGCGACCGTGACACGGGGGTTGTAGGGGCCCGTCCCCGGGCCTCGCCCCCGCCTCAGGGCCCGCTACCGGGGCCACCGGGAGCACTCCACCGCTGGGCGCTGGCTGTGCCGCCCGGTGCAGTGGCAGGCCCCCGGCCCCAGCAGGCCTCACCTCCTCCGTGTGGGGGTCCGGGAGGTCCCGGGAGCGGTCCCGGCGACGCGTTGGGCGCTGCAGCAGCGGGCGTGGGCGCGGCGGGCGTGGTGGTGGGCGTGGGCGGTCCCGTGGGTGTGGGTAGTTGTTGCTCGGGGCCGGGTCACAGCAAGCGGCGGCGTCAGGCCCCGGGGGTTGGTGCGGTTGGCGGGGGTAGTCCGGAGCGTGAGGAGGTCGGCGCAGGTTACAACAGCGAGGACGAGTACGAAGCGGCTGCAGCGCGCATAGAAGCCATGGACCCCGCCACCGTGGAACAGGTATGAGCCTGGGGGTGACAGGTGAGTGGGTGTGATGCATAGGATCCCAGACTGGATAGGGACCCGAGGTGGCCAATTAAGATTGCTTTAAGAGACTTGTCTTTTCTCGAACCCTGGCACTCTTCTCTAGAGGTGGAGGCATGAGACACCTACTCCCCCTGCAAGAACTTGGAGTTGTAATCTTAAGATAAGATGGAGGACTGAAAGATGGGATATGAGGTCTCTTTTTCGGACCCACAGTTGCCATTCTGATTCCTGGGGCTTCGTTGTGTAGGTGCAATAGGTGGGAACTCCCCAGGAGAAGCAGGTGGGATGGAATGTCTCCTGAGCAAGAAGTCTCCGATTCCATAAGGGACCTTGGTCTCTGATCAGTGACTTGCGATTTCTTTTCCTCCAGGATAGGAGTCTAAGACTCCCTTTCCAGGGGGCCAAATAAGGTGGAGACTTAAATGAGAGATGAGTGTCCCCAAGATAGCTCCTCACTCCGCCCCATCTTTCATAGGGAACACAGCACAGAACACTGTGGGGTCTGAGATTTCCTCAGAGCTCTTAAGCATGTCTTCAGGGGCCTGAGATTCCCTCTCCTAGGATCAAGGACCTAACACACACACACACACACACACACACACAAGGACCTAACACACACACACACACACACACACACACCCCCTTAGAGAGAGGGGTCTTCTGCAGTTTCCTTGAGGAATATGACTTCTCTGGGGGAGGGGGGCCTCTGGGAACAAGGGTCAAAATTAACACCCAGGAACCAGAAACTACTAGGGAAGATGAGATTTGTCTTCTAAGTAGTGGGTCTGTGCTTCCATTAAGTGGCCCAATACCTCCTTGGGGATGAGTCTGAATCCCTGTCCAGGAGCCTAAGCGACAGATCTGTTCTGCCTTCAGGCCTGAGCCTTTTATGGAGAAAATGAGACTCAGTTTTGGAGGCCTGAGGCCCCCCTGCTCATGGACTAGGGCTTTCAGAGAATGGGTTTGAAACTTAAGGAGATTGATACTCCCCCTCCCCACCCCCACCCCCCGCCAGAGTCCTAGGCAGGGTGAGGTCTTTAGGAGACCTTTCTCCGCAGGGACTTGTGTCTCAGTGTTTTTCTTTGGGGTTTGGGACTCCTGTACACAGAGATACGAAATCTACCCCAATTATGAAGGACTAGAACATAACTTTAGAGATGTGACAGCCCTCTAACCCTGGTAACAGGTCTGAGCCACCTCCTTTCCCAGAGGCCTAAGCTACTTGTCAGGGACATAAAACCTTTGCCTTTGGAACTCAGGTCTGAGATCACTTTTCAGGGGACATGGGCACATGGACTTGTAGAGATGGAGTTTGAGACCTGCCTTCAAGGACCTGAAACCCACTGTGCTAAGGACACAAGCTTTTCCTCAGGGGCAGGAGACCTCTTTAGAAAGAAGGTCTGAGTTTCCCCCTCAAGGGTTTCTGAGTGGTACCCTAAAGTACCTGAGGGAGAGAGAACTCTTCCCACCAGAATTGAGCCCAGGGCTCTTCCTTTGGGACATGGGTACAGGATCCCTGAGGAGTAGGGCCCTAGGTCTCCCCCCAAGAATTTGAACTTCCACTCAGGTACATGAGATACCTCCCAAACCCTAGGACTTGAGCCTTCCCTGAGAATACTGACTCCTCACTGTTGCACTTCTGACAGCATGTGTATGATCAGTCATAGGGCCTCTGTTAGGGACATTATTTTTTGTTTTAGGGATTTGGGGTTAAGAGCACTCCACTTGTGAACTAATTCTTGGGAACTATCCAGTTCCTTTGGGATCATGGATAGGGTGGCATTCTGAAGAAAAGAATCTGAGCCTCCCAGGGATTCCGTTGGAGGTCTCCCTCCAACCAGGCAGTACTTTCTCACTAGGTAAAGGGACATGAAGTGCTTCCCATCATGATCTGAGGCCTCCATTGGATAGAAGGACTTGGATACTCTTCACAGTCATAAGATTCCCTTACCTTAGGCCCCCTCAGGCCAGGAAGGTCCCTCTGCTTTCTATGAGAAGGTTGTCAAGTATTGGGGACATGGAGACCGAAACTTCCTATAACTAGGAGGTGTTGAGTTCCTCTCTGACCCAGCTCTGCTTGCTTCTCATTTTCAGGATCAGGGCTTCCTAAATTGCTTTCAGCAAGATTTTTTGCCTCCCATAGATAGGGAAGAAGTTTAGGACATCCCCACTCCAGGGAAATTCTCTACTCACATCGCTCCCCCCTTGACTTAGATAGACAGACTGTTACGTTTATTCCCCTGACCTTGTTCCCATCCTCTCCTGGCAGTAATCATCTAGACCCCCAGGGTGGGGAATAGGAGTTTTTCTTGTTGGTTGGGGTGAAGTCTGCTGTTCTTCCTCCACAGAAATGAGGAGTGATACCTCCTACATCCCTGGCCCCCGGGGACTGAGAGGAAGAAAGTCTTTTTGCTGCCTTGGTGACTAGAAAAACACCTCCTTGCACACTCTTTGCATTTCCTAGTCTAGGAGTCCCTCCCTTATACTTGGCTCCATAAGAACATGGGAGTAAAGCTCTGGGGCACATGTGCTCTCTTCCTTTTCACAGGCAGAGGAGGGTTTTCTCATTCTTGGGATAAAAGGATGAAGATGATGTTTCTCCCCACCTCACCTGGTTGAACCTAAGAAGAGGGGAGATTCTTCCCGCCACCCCCATCTTGGTTCTGAAGTGTCACTGGAGGCATTTGTAGTCTGCTGGTCAGTTTGGTCCCTTGGAAAAAAGGGGAGTTGTTGAGAGGGACCCCAGATGATGAATCCGGTCCTTGTTCTGACTACTCAGACTTGCTGTTTGTCCTGATGTTGTGATTGTACCTCTACTTCGTTTAGGAGTCCTTCTGGCACCCTGGGTCTCAGTGGTGGGGACATGGCCACGTCTGGGGGTTCCTTTCCCAACATGGCCACCTTGTTGAGTGTCTGCCCTGTAAAAAGAATGTCTTGAAGGTGTCCTGAGCTTGAGGACCTCACACAGCATTCTGAGAGGGTGGCATCCCCACGGAGGTGGTGGGAGAATTTGGACCTATAGACAGGGTGCCTGGGGTCCCCACCGTTTTTGCCATGGCTTTGCTGGATAGATCAGTCTTTCTGTCTGTGCTCTTTGGGCCTCAGTTTCCTCACTGGTCATGTAAGGTGGTTTATCTTTGTGGTTTTAGGGAGCTTACTCTAAGGTCGTCTGTGCCTGGGGGTGACAGAGAATGTTGGGTGACTTTTTGAGGAAGAACTGGATTTTTCCCCTGTCCCCTTCCAGCTATCCATACTTGGTGATAGGACAAACCGCCTGTTCTGTGTGAGGCTCAGGTTGGCAGGTAGTGATTTCTGTGGCAGGTTGTGCTATGATGAATAAGCTCGACGCTGCTTTTCAGGAGGGATGATGGGATGATGTGGAGGCAGCGTGTGTGTGGAGAGAATTGGTGCTTACGAGTTGGCCAGGCCTTGGGGATTCCTGCTTGGCTTTATGGCTTTAGGCAAACTCTCAGACACATTTTTTTTTTTTTTGCAAGAAAGTCCATGGTTGAGGTTGAATATATGAATACTCATGGCCTCTGACTTTGATTTGATTCTTTTCTTGAAGTTTCCCAGAGATATCTGACCTCTTCACTGGAGCCTTTGTCCACCCCTGGTAACAACTGATACTTGTTAGCAAAGACCTTTCAGATGAGATTAGGGACCTGCTGATTCTTCTGGTGGGGAGGCAAATTGGTGTAGCTCCCAGTGGTCCCTGCCTCGGTGGTTTGGGTTTGAGTTCTGTATCTTAGGGCAGGGCCCTTTTCTGGGTCTTGCAAGGTTTTAGTTTCTCCATCTGTAAAACAGATATAAAAACAGTAGCAGTGAGGCAGAAGATTGGATTCTTTGCTCTGGAATTGTAATCTCTTCTTTAATTCTCTGTTCTCTGTTCCTCTATCCATTGTGAAAGTTTTTGAGTGTGGCCCCTTTGACTTTTGAAGCCATGCCATGAAGTTTCAAGTGATGTAAGGCTTCCTTCTCCCTAGCCAATGTTATAGACCTTTGGATTTTTTTTTTAGTTTTTAACAGCTTTATTGAAATAGTCACATACCATAAAATTCACCAACTTAAAGTGTACAATTCAGTGGCTTTTAGTGTATTCACAGAGTTGTGCATTTATCACTATGATCAACTGATTTTAGACCATTTTATCATCCCCAAAAGGAACCCTGCACCATCCCTTGATCCCCAAACAGACACTGGCAACCACCAATCTACTTTTTGTCTTAATTTGTCTTTTTTCCTATTCTGGACATTTCATATGAATTGAATCATACAACATGCAGTCCTTTGTGACGTCTTTAACTTAGCATAATGTTTTCAAGACTCACCCATATTGAAGTCATCAGTACTTCATTTCTGTTTGTTGTGGAATAATGGAATCTTTGGTTTTCAGTTTCCACCCCACCCCTGCCAGTACCCCTGCAGTTGATTTGGGGCCTTGCTCTTGCTCTTTTCCCATTCCCGTGCCCTGGAGAGCTGTTTTAGTCCTTAGAGAGTGTGTCTGTGTTTCCTATTGGATGGGTCGTCTGTATTTTGCCTGTGGAGCTGAGCCAGTGTTCCTGGGTGTTTGAGGGGGAAGAGGGGGTGGTCTTGGCACTAGGCTTGCTTGGACAGAACTGGTAAGCCCAGAATACTAAACATCTCTGGCCATGGGCTCTGGGAAGACATCTGTCCACAAGCTGCCACTCCCGCTACCGTCCTCCTGTCCCTTGCCCTCCTGGGGTAGCCCATTCATCTGTAGGCAGGATCAGTAGCTTCCCAGGCTGGGAGGCCCCTGCTGCCTTGATTCTAACCACTGGAGGGTGGGGTGGAGGTGCTAGAGAGGTGGACCGAATAGGATGGGAACCTTGCCATGCTGCCTTAATAGCTCACACCAGGAGTGCTACAAAGGAATTGTATTAGTTTCCTGTGGCTGCTGTGACAAATTCCCACAAACTGGGTGGTTTAGAGCCACAGGAGTTTATCCACTCAGTTCTAGAGACCAGAAGTTCAAAATCAGTTTCACTGGGCCAGAATCAAGGTATTGGCAGGGCTGTACTCCCTTTAGCAGTAGTAGAGGAGAATCTTGTTCTTTTGCAGCTTCCAGGGTCGGCCAGCATTCCTTGCTTTGTGATCTCACCACTTGGATCCCTGCCTCTGTCTTTGCATCACTTTCTCCTCTGTGAATGTGTGGCTGTTGGTGTCTAGTTTATCCTCTGCTGTCTTTTTAATGAGGACCCATGATTACATATAGGTCCCACCTGGATACCCCCAACATCATGCCCCATCTCAAGAGCCTTTAATATCATACTTATAATGACCTTGTTTCCTGGTAAGTAATGTTTCCAGGTGCCAAGGCCTGATGTTTTTGCAGTCATTATTCAGTCTATTACAGGGATGTTCTAGTTTCCCTTCTAGGGAAGGGAGGAGAACTCAGTAAGTGCTTTCCCAGTGGATAGAGTCTTGTAATACAGCCCGGTATCCTTTCTGTGGGGAGGCTGGTTATTCCAATCTCACAAATTAAAAAACTGTGGCTCAGATCAGTTCATAGCATGGCTAATAATTAGCAAAGCTAGATTGGACCTTAAGTTATTTGGGTCCCACAGTATGCTTTGACTTCTCTTGTGCCTTTGAACTAGTAGGTTGCAGAATCTTACACCTGAGGCTTAGAGGTGTGGAGGGGTTCCACATAGATGTGGCAGCCCAGCAGTAGACTTGCAGAATTCAGGGTCTGCACTTGACTTTTTGAGGTCAGAACATTGATGTAGCTTAAATTTATGTATGTCTGGGCCAGCCCTCTCTCCCAGCCAGTTTTTCCTGGGCCATATTCCAAAACTGTCCCTAAGTTTGCACCTTTCTCGGAGGCTCCTCCCCAGCTTGGGGAAGGGGGAGCTCCTGGGACTCCCTAAACTCTTTCTTGAGCTCAGTATTATGATCCCCTGTTTTCTCTCCCCAAAGGGAGAGAGAAAGGCTTTTAAATCAGAGCTCAGGCTCTTAAGGCTGCTGGCCAAAGCCATTGTGTAGCTAGTGGTCTGGCCTCCAGATCCAGGCTCAGTTGCCAATCTTGTTGCCCCATGCCCAAAGCCCTGCTTGTGCAAGGAGTATGCTTAGGTCTTTTTTAAAAAGATGTATTTATTCATGCTTACAAGAACTGGGGTAGAGGCCAGAGGCGGGGGGTGGTGAGAGGATTCGCCAGAGACAGAGTGGGGAGCAGAACAGGCAGATCTGCTGAGGGGAGCAGTGGGTGAGACAGGAGAGGTCTGCTGCGCCATGCTCCCTGGATATATCTTGATGGGATGGAGACTTTAACCCTTGTGCCACCAGGGAGGCCCCAGGTATGTTTCATTTTTAGAGGCAAACCTTGTTGGGCTATGAGGTATGCCTCCATGCTGTGACGTAGGAGGTCTGCCCTGTTCCCTCTATACTAGGCTCTATGCTTCTGCCCTAACCCCAGCTCCTTTCTGCCTTTGTAAATGAGGATAATGCTTCCTGCCACCTTGGCTGCATGTAGTAAGGACAGTAAATGAGGTCACCTTTTGCATCTGGCACCTGGCATGGGGCAGGCGTCCGGCAAATAGGAGTTTCTCTTTCTTCCTGACTCTGCCCTGCTAACCTGTCTAGTCCTGCCCAGAACTTTAGCTCTTTGCGGGGCCTCTGGCATTCCTGGTGCTTTGCAGCATAAGTGATTTCTGGAGGTCTTGGTGTTTAATCCTTTGGTTATATGGCACTTTCTCTGAGGAGCCAGCCTTAGTGACTGGTTAAGTCCCTGCTTCTCTTTCACAGCACTCCCATGTTAACCTCTTTCACAGCCCTACTCATGTGCGATCATTCCTTGTCTCCCGCCCCTCCCCTAGCAGTTCGTGAGATTTCTTACTAGTAGAAAAGACCCAGTCTGGTTCATTCTCTCTGTTCTCATAGCCCAGCCAGTGTCTGACTTCATAGCAGCCTGGTAATGTTAGGTGAACAAGTAGGAGCCCCTCTTGTCATTCTTGATCTCCTTTCTCCTCTCCGTAACCCCCCTCCCTGCATGCTTGAGGGGCAGAGCATGCTAGTGTGCTCTTTTTTAAGGAATTCTTTATTGTGTCTATTCTAGGCCTATAGTAATAGTTACAGCTTCCTTGCTGGATCCTCCTGACCGGGGCAGGGGCCATGGTGCTGGAAGATGGCTGACCCTATGGGGCAGGGTGGACTTGGGGGAACTGGCTGGAGTGCTGTAGTCCATAGCCTCTGGGGCAGGAGGCGCGCCTGCACTTTTGGAATGCTGTGCACAAACGAGTCTTCGCGCTGCTCATGGAAGCCCATTAAGGGCTTCCAGGTGCCTTTGTCATCTCTAAAAAGCTAGCCACACCTTCCTGGGGTGTGGTGCCCTGTTGGTAGGGTCACCCCTTCTTTATCCCCTCTTGACCAGCCATTTATCTGGGACCTTGTGAAGGCATCTCAGTGTACATCATCTGTGCCTATGCTCGTTTGCCCCTTTTCCTGTATTGGTGATACCATGTATATGCCATCAGTATATGCTGTGTTGTTGACAAAACCCTTTCAGGTCTTTTAGCTCCTATGAACTTCTTCCTATCTCTGTCAGGTGGATCATATATCCCCTGAAAGCTGAGGCCTGAAATCATACAGCAAGTGATTCACTGAACGGGGTTTGGAATCCATAGATAGCTTATGGCCTTCACATTTTGTGCTTCAGGAATTTGTCACCTGAACTGGGGGAAAAGGCCTCCATAGAGGTGATCCTCTCTCTCTGGTTGGCATTAACTCAGATCCTGTAAGTCCTGGGGCAGTGATGTCTTCAAGGATTTGGGGTTTCTGGCCTTGATGCTGAATCACACTGACTTCTGGTGGCCAGCAGAGGGCGTAAGTGAACAAGGAAAGGTTTGCTGCTTCTGTTTTGTTTTGAAATGGAAAATGTTATAAGTGACACATGGATATTATCCTTTTCAATTTGAAAATAAACTTTATTTTTTAGAGTAGTTTTAGGTTCATAGAAAAACTGAACAGAAGATATGGGGAATTTCCATATACCCTCTACCCCCATGCAGGCATAGCTCCATTATCAGTGTCCCCCACCAAAGTGATGATTGCAGTTGCTGAGACTGCTTGGACACATTGTTTTACCCTAAGTCCATGGTTTACATTAAAGTTGACTGTCAGTGTTGCACTTTCTGTTGGTTTGGACAAATGTTTAATGACATGGAACTACAATTACACTATGCAGAACAGTTTTACTTTGTCGGTTCATTCTCTCCTTTATTTTTTTAAACTCCAAAAATATATATGTGTACAGGTTCACTAACCCAAGCCTTTGGGATCAGATGTGCTTTGGAATTTAGAAAAATTTCAGAAGTTAGAAAAGTTACCTGGTATATCCACAGTAGTTCTCCCATAACCAGGTTTTGCGTTCTGCAGTGTCAGTTATCGACAGTCAATCCTGGTCTGAAAATGCTATATACAGTAAGATATTTTGAGAGAGATCACATAACTCCTGTTACAGTATATTGCTTTCATTTATTTATTGTTAGCGTTGCTGTGCCTAGTTTATAAATTAACTTTTATCACAGGTATGCTAATCTAGGAAAAAGCTACATACAGGGCTTGGTACTATGTATGCTTTTAGACAGCTACTGGGGAGTCTTCAAATGTGTTCCCCCCATGCTTAGTGGGAGATGACTGTACCTGTGTTTAGTAACACCTCCTTTGAGGTCTGTGACAGCACCACATAATTAAACCCCTGATCTTCCTGTTGTATGGAAATGTTTGAATGTTCACTTTCAAGTGGGATGAAGCTCAGATCAATTTCTGATATAAATGGGTTAACGACTTTTGGTTTTCAAGGCTTTCTGAGTTTTTGAAATCTGAGCATGCAATTATATACCTGGTGTAAGGAAGGAAGTGAAGTAAAAATCACCTGTAATACCAACTCTTAGGTGTAGTAACTTGTTGTGTAGCCTTCCTAACTTTGTGTGTATGAACATTTGTATACATGTGCATATGCATACATGTTAAATGTGTTCCATCACAAATGAGATCATATCAGGCATACCTTTTGCCTTATGCAAATCTATCGTCAGTATATCTTGAATTTCCTAGTTATATGGGACTCGAGTTCTCAAACCTCTTACTACTAGTCACCCCCTTCTCAACATCTCCCCTACTCTTAAGTGGCTAGAGGAACCCAGGGTGAAACTCCTTGAGGTCGAATGAGTCAGGTTTCCCCCCAGGAACTTGCCAGGTCTTGGCCTGGGGGAAGACCTAGCATGGATTCCCAGCATGGGCTGCAGGGGTCAGAATACAGATAGGGCACCCCTCAGAGCAAATCTTCTGCTCAAACCTTGATTGATTCCCTAAAAAAATCAGTGCAGAGTGGTCAAGCTGGGCTGAGAATTCACCCTGGTCACTGTCCTCTTGGCCTCTCAGTTGGGCCACTTGGAAGCTCAAGAGGAGGGCCCTGGGGCAGGGGTACAGGCCTTTCCTGTTACTGACCCCACCTCTTCCCTACAGCAGGAGCACTGGTTTGAAAAGGCCCTGAGAGACAAGAAGGGCTTCATCATCAAGCAGATGAAGGAGGACGGCGCCTGTCTCTTCCGGGCTGTAGGTAAGTCTCTGCCTCAGCCCTCAAGGGCCTAGGGCTGTCCCTAAGCTGTATCCAAGTTGTTAGGAGTAACCCCTGAGAGAGTTGGGGCAGAGTTAGGAGGTCTTTTAGGGACTCCAGGCCCCAGCTTCAAGAATGTCTTACCTCTACCCCTTGATCATGAGGCTGTGTGGTGATGTAAGGGTAATAATAGCAGTAATAATGGCAGTGCTAGTGGTAAAGAAACTAGCATTCCTTAGGAACAGAGTGCACTGTCAGTACTTCGGGAAGCCCTTTCAGTTCTCCCCCAACTAGGGAAGTATGGGCACTAGTGTTGCTTCTGTTGGCAGGTGGGGAAAGTGGCTCAGAGATGGGAGGAGTGACTTGCCCATGGGTCAGCCTAGTCCATGACTGAGTCAGGGCCTGGGGTCTGGTTAGCTTTTTCTGAGGTCCATGCTTTTATCCACACCACACTGCTGTCACCTGGGAATAGTAGAAAAATAAAAGTTGGAGAGGATAGTGAACTCTCACATACTCATCGTCCATCTTCAAAATAGTCTTTTCAGTACACTGCCAGCCTTGTGTCATCACTACCTCATCCACTCTTTTCACTCACCTGAAACAATATTTTTCTTGGATTGGATCATTTTCAGCATTGGGTCATTTCACTCATAATTGTGTTCCTCTGACAGAGGAGAACTCTCTCTCTTTAAACATAACCAAAATGTCAATGCCATTTTTCTGCCTAACAATTAATAATTCCTTAATACCGTCTACTAACCAGTCTGAGCTAGATCTTTGGGGCCCTTCTGGCTCTGGATCTATGACCCAACAAGTAGTCATGCGGTCCTGTGCTGGGGAAACTGGCAGAGTGACGTGCTTCTCCTTTTGGGGCTCTGATACCTACCAAGGCAAATTGCCCTCTGATAGGAGCTTTGAGCTGGGGATCAGAAGCCCCATATTCTAGTTCTGGCTCTTAGAGCTGCTAGGTGACTTTTGGCTTCTGTTGACCCATCTGTAAATGGTGTGCCTGCTGAGGGCTCCTTGAACCCTTCTGGGTCTGCTTTTCTCTCAGTCTGTGGGTAACTCCCCTCCCATATCTACTGGTGGACTGGACTGACTTAGACTCCACGTCTAGCTGTGCCCATGGCTCTCCGAGTAACCTTGCGCAAGTAGTTGTTTTATGCCATCTGTTTCCTTCTCCGTAAAATGAAACTAAAAGACTGGTATTGTAACGATTAAATGAGATTACTCCAGTAGTGCCTGACACATAGAAGGTTCTTGTGGCACAATGGAATTGGTAAAATCTGAATACTGTCCTCCATGGTGCTTGGAGCCACAAATGTTTGTTGAATAGGTGAAAGAAAATTCGTCGGGCAGTTAGTTACCTCTCCATTATACCAAACAAAAGAGGGTTAGGCAGTGAAAATCCCAACCCTGCTACCCCTATGGCTCAAGTCTATGTTCTCCCTGGAATATTTCCTGGGTTTGGAGACATCTTGGGCCAGAGAAAATCAAGGAAAGGATAGATGGGACCCTGTTAGGTGCTAAATAGACCCTGTTTTGAGACCCCAGATTGGAGGTATGTAAGTGGGGCTGCTGGTGCAGTTAAGGTCAGAGAATATAGCGAGGCATTTGGGTCTGGGGCCAAAAGGCAGATTTTGGAGTCAGTGAGGACCTAGCTTATGCAGTAACCCATATCAAGAGCAGTATTTGCATGTGTGTCTATGTAGGTGTTTTCTTCAGACACCCTTGACCCTTCCTGTCCATTGGTAAAGGGGTCCGAGCTTCCTGGAAGAGCTGACCATGACATATTGAAGACCTTTCCCTGTCATCACCAAAGCGACACATTCCCCTGAATGGGCTACCCCTGTCTTTATTCCATAAAACCTCAGAAGCCCCATGGCTTCTCCCTAGATGTATATGACCCCTGGGCCTCTAAGACTCATTGGTTGTTTCCCTAGGGCAGAACGCACAGGACAGGTCATTGGGAAGGGGGCTTTGCACTCAGGCTTTTTGTTAACCCCTCTGCTTCTAAACTAGCCTGGGCAGAGACAGATGGTGGTTGTCTAGTTTACAGGACCTGGCTTGCTGCCATGCTCTGAATGGTGGAAGGTGCACATAACTGAGAATTAGAGTTGGATGGGGATGGTTGCAGATACAAAGAACATTCTGTTGATCTCTTGGCCCCTACTGTTTGTGAAACATCCTACTGGGACTTCAGATTCATCTGCAGAATGGGGTCAGTATTCCGTGAGATAGGTGAGGTTGAAGCTCCGAAAGGGGAAATGGCACACTAAGGATTATTAGTGGCAGAGCTGGCATGGGGACCTAGAAGTTTCCATGGGGACCTACATTCTTCCTATGCCCCTAGGAAAGACTTAGCTTCTTAGGTGTCAACTGACAAGGTGACCTTACCTGTGTTACTGACATTTCTGGGCCTTACCTCCTCCATCTGGGAGTCTGTAGCCCTCTACTGTTGGGAATCCTAAGGCAGGTGGCTTTCTATTCTGTTTGCCTCTTGTGGTCTGGGAGGCCCTTTGTGGCCCAAAATCCATTGCTTATGCCCAGTTCTCGCTCCTCATCCTCTATCCGGGGACTCATGAGCATCAGCAGAGACTTGGGTGGAGTGGAAGTGGGAACCTGAGTCCCAGAGGTATCCTGCGGTTCACCCTACCCCTGCTGTGCTCAGATAACCTCCTCCTGGAAATGTGAGTCTGCATCTTTCCCTTCCGCTACCCATGTGGCTTTGACTCAGCAAAATCGTTTGGCCCTGGTGCTATAGGCAGAGTGTAGGCTGCATGTGTGTGTATCTGCACAGCCCTGGAAATCAACTGGGGTTGTGGGTGTTACTACAATGGGACTCAAAAATAGAGGCAGGCTCACTCCTGGGCCTTTTGGTCTTGGGACATGGAGGGATGGATCTGAGGTCATTTTTGACTATTTTATTACATCATTTTGACCGTTTTGACTTCTATAAACTGAGCCTCAACAGAAAGACAGGACTGATTATCTAGGTGTAATATCAGCATTTGAGGGCGAACCAGACCACGAGGTGACCCCCGTGGACCATGACTTACACCAGTTTACCTTGGCCTCTCTCTGTCCTGCCTCCTTCAGTTTTCTCATTTTTGCCAGAAACTCCTTGAGCAGAGGAGTAGGCATCTCAGACACCAGGCTGTCGAGGGGTGGAGTTCTACTATCTTCCCACTGAGTGTATGCCAGTTGGGGACCACAGGCCAGGTCACATTACAGCTGCTTGACAGGTAGTTCGGGCCTTTTTCCTGGCTTGTCTCCTCAGCGGGGTCTAGGTTCCCACTGGATCTGGAGGGAAGCGGGAAGCAGACCAGGTCCCTGTGTCCCCTGCTGCTGTGTGCATATACGTTTGTGTGATTTGTTTTTAGAATCCCTGTAGACACCAAGCTTCCTTTTCTGTCCTCAGCAGAACTTGCTATGGCTCTTCTAGCAGGCAGCAGTGGTGGAGAGATAGTTCCCAGGTGCCTCTAAAATGAATGGTAAGGCCCTGTACTTAAACTCCTCTAGGCAGTCCAGGCTCTCCTGTCCTGCTTTTCCATATAACTCCTTGGCAAATAAGAAGTACGTTTTAGGGAACTTGAGGAAGGTGTACAAAGGTTTGGGGACCTTCCCCAGGCAGCAGGGGAGGGAGGTTGAGGCAAGTTTGTTATTAGAGCAGTTGGCTCCCTCCCCTCCCCAACCCTAGTTGAAGACTAGGAAGGAGATAAGGCCTTAGTTTGTGCAGCCCTTCATCCTGTCCAGCCTTAAGTCTCCTATTTGGTGGCAAGGGTATCTACTCCTTGAATAGCCTAGTTCTCTGTTACTTTGAGGGTATTTTGTGTGTAATTGGCCTCAGGGAACATCTTTGACAAGACCTGATGGTTGGGTGTGTATGTACATTTCTATGCTGGTGTGTCTGTGCCCAGAGAAAGCACAAAAGGGGGGTGTGGGGTGGTAAGGTTCATGTTGACTTCTGCAGCCCTACCAAGGAGTACAGTACCTGATACCTGTAATCTCCTTTTCTTTTTAAAAGGATTTATTTATTTATGCTTACAAGAACTGGGGTGTAGGCCAGAGGTGTGGGGGTGAAAGAATTCACCAGAGCGAGTGGGGAGTAGAACAGAATACACTGCTGAAGGGAGCAGCGGGCAAGACAGGAGAGATCTGCTGCACCATGTGGGTCAGCTCCCTGGCCGGGGGTCGAACTTGTGCTGCAGTGGCTGCGGAGAGCTTCAGTGCTGAGACTTAACCCCTTGCGTCACCAGGCAGGCCCTGTAATTGCCTTCTGTCTCCAGGCCTTTCCTGGGTTTCAGCTGATTTCCTGCTTGTGCTGGCAGGGAAGCTGAGACAGACAGGAGCAGGCTTGATTGTGAAGGGAGTCAGGTAGCTAAGGTGATGGGTGAATGGGTGTAGCAGTGCTTAAAGTCACTTGTTACTCCTTGAGAAGCTGGCCTCACCATTATCCTTCCAAATTTGTGACCTCAAATTTGTGTCCTCAAATTTGTGTCCACATTTCTCAGATCCTCTGTGTAGAGGATTCTTCTTCCTTTTTTTTTTTTTTTTTTTTTTGTGAAGATGGAATAAGTTAGAATGTGAAAAGTTGTTGATGGAATGTCCAGGCTTACAGTATTGTCCTGAGAATGTCTGAGCCCCATTTGGCTTGGGGACAGATGAAGCAGTGGGGGACCCCTTCCAGCTGGACTCTAGAAGGGGAGAGCAGGTGCAAATTACCCACAAGTGCAGCGTCAGCAAGAGGAGGAGTTTCAGTTTCTATCAAAACAACTTCTTTGAATTCCCCCGCCTTTACTGGCCCATCGGGCCCTTTTCCCCACCTTGGCCCCCACAGGGAAGTCCGGCCTGGCCCTAGTCTCATGCGCCAACCTTCCAGGAGGAAGATAGAGACAGGACTGGCAGAGTCAGACAAGCACCGCCTCTTTGAGGACTTCCTGTGGTCTTCACCCTGCACTGGTGTTTTCTCCGCTTCCTATCACTCTCCTGCGCTGGGGAGACATGACTGCTCTGTTTCCTTGGTTCAGAGATGCACATTTTCTTCACAGTAATGGTCCCCAAACTAGGGTGCATCTTATAATCAGTGAGGTGAGTCTCTTTAAGAGCTGTGATTAAATATGTTGTGTTATACATTCATTCAGTGTGCCTTAGAATTGATGAAAGTGATGTTTCACATTTTGAAGTAAAGAAGGTCATACTATGTCCAGTGCCACGCTTAAGGACCCTGTTTTAGGAAGCCTGTATGGTGAATTTGATGTTAATTTAATTTCTGAAGATTTGAACTACAAGCCTAGAAGGCAGGAATTTGGATTCATTAAAGGCAGGATGGCAGTTCTGCTTACATGCAGAGGGACAGGTTAGGCTCAGTGTTTGGGGCTTTCCTCTGGTTGAGGAAATGCACCACAAATGAGGAAGGGCTTGATGAGAGGTTCCAGTGACTTTCCGGTTGGCTTGTGGGTGCCTGCTCTCTAAAGGGGTCATTATCCTCAGAACAACCTCCTCCTCCTCCTCCTCCTCCTCCTTCTCCTCCT